CTAAGCAATTTAGATTCTGAGTCAAAATTTTTTAAAAAGCATGAGGGGAAGCACTTCTACATTGGTGGAAGAAGGACTTCTGAACATCCACTCTTCCAAAATAGTAATATAAGACATTGGAAAAAAATTTCAAATTCAGTTTTTTCACAACTCTGGAAATTAACCAAAAGCTTACAATAGCCAGGCATGTGGTGCACGCTAGTAATCCCAGTGACTCAGGAGGCTGAGGCTCAAATTTAAAGCCAGCCTCAGCAACTTAGCAAGGCCCTGTCACAAAATGAAAAATAAAAAGGGCTGGGATGTGGTTCAGTGGGAAAGCACCTCTGGATTCAATACAGAGGTTTAATCCAAACAAGCTTTTATTCAAGAAAAACAGCTGAATTTCAGTATGAACAAGTTTTGTGGTATTTAAACTTGCCCTATTCTCATCTTCCTTTATCCAGTTCCACAGTAACATTGAAAACCAAAGCTAGGACTGGAATTGTGGCTTAGTGATAGAGCACTTGCCTGGCATGTGTGAGGCCCTGGGTTCCATCCTCAACACCATAAATAAATAAATAAATAAATAATCCATTAACAACTAAAAAATATTTTAAAAAAAGAAAGAAAAGAAAACCAAACGCCTTAGGTTCGCAGTATCTGTGAAAAGCAACAGCCTGGCACCCAGTGGAGGGGCACAGAGTAGGTTTAGATTACCCCAAATAGACCTATCCCCAGAATTGTCATTATGTGCACTGTCAAGCAACTCCCTAGAAAATTCCATTCAAAGGACTTGTCTTTATGTGATCTGACTCAGCATCAAGGCCCTTTCCTGAGTCCTTTGTTGGAAAAAATAAGCAGCAGTGGTTTAACATCAAGGGTTAGGGTTAGGATTAGGACATATACTTATGGCAAACAATAAGCTAAACAAAAAGCAATTGAAATTCAGCAACATATTAAAAAGATTATACACCATAATCAAGTGGAATATAGCCCAAGAATGTGAGGGTGATTTAGTATAATAAAGTCAATAAATATAATGCATTACATTAATGGGAGGAAGAAAAAAACACATGAACATTTCAGTTGACACATAAAAACCATTTGAAATAAAAAAAAGAAAAACCATTTGAGGGCTGGGGATGTAGCCCAGTGGTACAGCACTTGCCGAGCATGTGTGAGGCACTGGCTTTCATCTCCAGCACCTCAAAACAGAAACAAAGGAAGAAAAGAAAAAGAAAAACAAATTTCATAAAATGCAACCATCTTTCATTATCAAAACATTTATAAAACTATGATTGGAAAAGAACTTCCTCAACCTGATCAAGGCCATCTACAAAAAACCTATAGCTAACATTATACTTAGTAGAGAACTACTGCAAGATTTTCTCTTAAGACCAGGAATAATACAAGGCTACTGAGTCTCACCACTTCTATTCACCATTGTACTGGAAATCCTCTAAAGCTAAATTACATAAGAAAAAAATAGAGCAGGCATCTACTTTGGAAAGTAAGAATTAAAACTATCTGTATTTACTGATGACATTATCTTACACAGAGAAAACCCTAAGGAATTGACACCAAAAAGAAACTATTAAAACTGGTAGATGAGATCAGTAAGAATGCAAGTTACAAGATCAGTATACTCAATTAATTTTAGTTTACTAACAATAATTATAGAGGGGACATTGTTTTGAACTAAGCTTCTGAACAAGACCCCAGACGAGACCAAAACAAAACAATCATTCATGGTGAATACCACATCATGAAACCAAGACTTGAAGGAAGCATACAGAAGGCAAAATACACCAAGTGTTCCTGAAATAGGAGATTCTAGTCTACTTGCATCAAAGTAATAAGGAATTTCTCTCTACTTTAACCCTTACAAGACAATAATAAGTTGAAGTAAACAGATGTTAACCAATCAACTTTTTTTTTCTTATTGTTTTGTTTCTTTGTCCCCATCTTATGAAACCAACTGTTCTCCTACTGTCTGGTGAGAGCTTTTATCTCCATTTATAGAACAGAGGCTGCCCTATTTCATGAATTGTGGATAAAAAACCAATTAGATCTATAACTAAATTTGTTGTAATGCTATCTCTTGCCAGTTTTTGTACTCCAGCAATAAACAATCGAAAATTGAATTTTAAAAACTCCATTTACAATAGTCTATAATACAATAGCATTGAAAATAGTAAAAAAAAAAACACTAAATAAATTTAACAAAATACCTGTAAGACGTGTACACTTAAGAGCTACAAAACATTATTGGAAGAAACTAAAGACAACCAAATAAATGGAAAGATGCTCCATGTTCATAGACTAAAAGACGTAATGTTGTTCAAAGTTACACAGCTAGTTAACAGAGTCAGGAATTGAACCCATAAAATCTACAGAATCTAAAGTCTTTGTTTCTGTGTATTCTGCTAGGAATTGAACCAGGGCCTCTTCCACTGAGCTACACTCCAGCCCTAGAATCTGTGTCTTAACCACCCTATCATATTTCTCTACACACACACACACACACACACACACACACACACACACACACACACTGCTTATGGCTCCTCATTGCTTTTAAAATGAGTTTATTCTATTTATAGTGACCCAAGACTAGATCATTTTGATCTGTGTAACCCCTGCCTACCTCTCCAGCTTCATCTCCTGCCAATCACAGCCTTGCAGTTCAAGCTGCAGCCACCCCAAGATGGAAAGATATAGGAACAAAACATAATGGGAACACAAAGGAGGCATCCTGGATGAAATGATACCTGGGTGGAGTATTAAAGAATTATACATCTGTCTCCCTCACTAGACCAAAAGCTCCCAGTAGTTTTTCCATTGTGTTCAGGATCTGGCTTGACCCTTCAAATTTTATTTATTTTCTTGAAGTTCTCCATTCCAACCTAGGGCATAGTCTATAATGGTAAGAATAGAAAGGGGCTTCAGGATTTTTTTATGTGTGACTTGTGTGAAATGGGGATGGGAGTACATAATGCAGATCACAAACATACTTGGAGAAAATGAGATCACAGGATGAAAACATTTTAGAACTTTATTTTTCTTTTTTGTATTTGTTATAATTAGTTATACATGATAGTAGAATGCATTTTGATACATTATACATAAATGGAATATAACCTCTCATTCTTCTGGTTGTACCTGATGTAGAATTACACTGGTTGTGTAATCATATATGCACATAGGGTAATAATGTCTGATTCATTTTATTATCCTTCCTACCCCCACACACCCTCCCCTCCATTCACTCTTCTCTATCTAATCCAAAAGTACCTCTATTCTTCCCCAATCCCTCCCATTTTAAATTAGCATCCATGTATCAGAGAAAACATTAAGCCTTTGGTTCTTTGGGATTGGCTTTCTTTGCTTCGCATGATATTCTCCACTCCATCTATTTACCAGTAAATGCCATAAAACTACACTGAGATTTCATCTCACTCCAATCAGAATGGCAATTATCAAGAATACAAGCAACAATAAATGTTGGTGAGGATGTGGGGGAAAAGGTATACTCATACACTGCCAATGAGACTTCAAATTGGTGCAACCACTATGGAAAGCAATATGGAGATTCCTCAGAAAACTTGGAATGGAGCCACCATTTTAGAGCTTATTTTTGGTAGTTTCATAATAGTCAATGGCTTTAGACCCCAAACATATATAATGGCTCAAACACAATAGAATCTTCTTAGATGTGTAATGGACCAAGACAGACATTCTTGCTTAGCAGATTAGTTCTCTTCCACCTGATAATTCAGGTAATTCAGGCTAACAAAAGCCCCTAAATCACCCTGGATTACTACATTCCCTCCAAAAGGGAGGGAAACATGGAGGAGCACACATAGGAGACTTCTATGGGCCAAATCTAGAAGGATCATACATCATTTCTGCTCAGACTCCATCAGCAAGAATTTAGTTATGTGGCCACATCTTACTGCAGTAAGTAAGTTAGGTGTTTAACCTATCTCATGAGAAGCTGGAATAATCAAATACAGGCAGTATAAAATCATGGTTGATAGTTGAGCTGCCTATTGAGTCACATATCAGAAAGTAGCAGCCAGAGGGTGACTTGCAGTGCTGATGACTCCTTAATTATTAATCACTAACACTTTATAGATTGCCTTTAAGTAAAATGAGAACTGGGTTAGTATACAATATTGTAACGTTGGCCCCCAAATATTTTTTCCTCTGATGCATGTCTACACTAGAAAGGGTCACAAAATAGATGGCAAAGTAGCAATCTGATTCATCACAGCCAGGCAAGAGATGCCCAAACAAAATGGGGAAAAAAGACAAAATCAAAAAGGGAACTCATTTTCATTTCAAAACATAGCTACAGGCATGGGCTTATTCTCTGCCAGTTTGTGTTTGCCCCAATGGAATGCACATTTGATGAGACCTCATGTAGGCGAGGAGGATGAGTAGAGATGAATCAATTTGAAATGAAATATCCTCATGATTGTCTGCTAAAAGGTATGAAGATCCCCAGGAGAATTTGTAAAACTGCTGCCCAGGCTCTATCCCACACCACCCCAGGGAGTCACATTTAGTCAGTCTGTGATAGGACCTGGCAATCTGGATTTTAATGCTCCCTGGATGATTCTGATGCAGAGCCAGTTTGGGGGAACATAATGGGAAGGAAGCATTCAAAAGCACAAACAAAATTTTTTTTCTTTTTGAAATGGGGCTCTTGCTAAGTTGCTGAGTCTGACTTTGAACTTGGATCTTCTTGCCTTCCGCCCCCTGAATGGCTGGGATTACAGTTGTGCACCACTGCACCTGGCTAGTGATTTTGTTTTAATATGTGAAAAATATAATTAATTCTAAGGAAAAATTTAGCCTCATAGTTTGACCTGTAGAACTATCTCTGGGGTTAGAACCTGGAGAACAAACCTCTCTGGGAGCACTGGTGGGAGGTGACTCTAAATCAGAGAGGTACTATGAATGTAGACTTCCTCCTGGATGTCCCAAATGCCTAACTTGTTTTCCTCTTTTCCCAGTTTGTTGCTCAGCCCAACTGCCAACAGTTGCTTGCCACCCTGTGGTATGATGGTTTCCCTGGATGGCGGCGGAAACACTGGGTAGTCAAGCTCCTGACCTGCATGACCATTGGGTTCCTGTTTCCCATGCTGTCTATAGCCTATCTGATCTCACCTAGGAGCAACCTTGGGTTGTTCATCAAGAAACCCTTTATCAAGTTCATCTGCCACACAGCGTCCTATTTGACCTTCCTCTTCATGCTTCTCCTGGCTTCTCAGCACATTGTTCGGACAGACCTCCATGTACAGGGGCCTCCTCCAACTGTTGTGGAATGGATGATATTGCCTTGGGTTCTAGGTGAGTTAAAGGGAACAGATGAGCAATGGCTAGACTGTCTTCTGATCCTGTCTAAAAAATATACTCGAACAGGTAGTCAAACTAGCTCTGAACTAGGATACCTTCCCTCTGCATTGTTGGAAGTCTGAGAAATGTGATTCCTTCTGTACCAGGCCCTTGTCACTCAATACTGTATGGTCCACCACAAGATTATCAGTATGCCCATGGGTTGCCTCTTCTAACCTAATATCTTCAAGGACAGAGAAGTGGCTGTCAGTTGGTTTAGAGGGGAAAGCCAAGTATCAGTCAGGAAAGCTAAGCAGGGCAAGTATTGATCAGTATATTCAAAGCTCTCTTCCCATTACCAGGAGGTACATGGATTCTAATGCTTTCTCACGGCCACTCCATATAATCCTAGAAGTTGTTCAGGGTCTGCATTCTATTGAGATACTACTTCCACAGTCAGGAGAAGAACCTGGAAATACACACACATCATGGTAAAAGCAGCTCTTTCAGTAGTCTCCAGGTATAATTAAATGACACTGGACTCTCCAGCACAAGGCCATCTTCTAAGCCCTTGTCCATTAAACTGGTCTCCCAAACCAGTAATATGGGGATCACCTGGGAGCTTGTTAGACATCAAAAAATCTGAGTGTTAACATGATTCCCAGGTAATTTACATGCACTTTAAAGTCTTAAAAGTACTGCCTTAGACTACAGCTGCACCTTTTTCTTTTTTCTATATTCCAAGGCTGATGAAACATCTGTGTCAGCAGGCAAAACTCCACAAAACCCTTATACAGTGAGAGGAGAAAGGAGAAAAGAGGATGCATGCTAAATTATTTGAGGCCGCAGTGCCTAGTTTCAGCCCCAGCATCTGGTAATTTGGTTCATGATCAGCTTGCTCACCTCAAAACTCATGAAGAAGTTTTCTCTTCAGTGCCTAGTAGAAATCAGGGACTATGAAGTAATATTGATTTAATCAATTTATTAATAAGATTGCTCCCACTCCAATATGGGAAGAAGATAGAATTCGGAGCCCAAAATTGCAACAGCAAAAGAAAGAAATAAAGAAAATGACAGCATTCCAGTAACTATAGTAAGAATGTTAAAAGTGAGTCAGGGTAGTGCCCAGAAAATTATGATTTATGGGCATCTCAGGAGACTGCCACCATGTTTAACAAGTCCATGACTGGGAGGTAGAGTAGGAAACAAAGAGGTAAGTGACTACTGCTCCACTTACCCCAATTTGTTCATTGATTTCATCCTTATTCATTTGGGGGTGGTCCTGCTATGATGACCAGGACTTCCCTGATGTGGAAATAAACTTTTTGCCTCTATTCTTCAGGTTTCATTTGGGGGGAGATTAAGGAAATGTGGGATGGTGGATTTACTGAATACATCCATGATTGGTGGAACCTGATGGATTTTGCAATGAACTCCCTCTACTTGGCAACTATTTCTTTGAAGATTGTGGCCTATGTCAAGGTAAAATTGAATGTCTGTCATTGTTCTTAAACAATGATTTTGGTTACATCAATAAGCTTTTATTCTGGGAACATGAAGTGTTTATGGGGAAAGTAATGTTGCCACTCCAATCCATTGTGGGAAAGTCCCATATAAACAAACATTCTTTCCATAGTTTATAAACAGTGTCTGCTTAAGCAAAGAAAGTGGAGAATGAATCAAATGAATCATTAGCTTCTTAGACTCTCAAGGTAAAGGGGACTTTAGTTCTGAATGCTGAAATCTTCTCCACAATGTTCTTGCTAAGAGAATAGCCCACTGATGCTTGCATAGTGCACGGAAATTTACTGAATTCACTGTTTCCAAAAGCCTCTCTTAACCCTTGTCACTTCAATAAAAAGAGTTATATTTGTCTAATACTATTCTCCCATGCCACATCCATGGGTAATCCTTCCCTATGGGGTCATATAGAAAAAAGCTGTTGCTTCTCTATAATAGTACTTCCGGTATGAAGTCATCTCTCCCTTACCCACTGAGTCATTGCTTGCTAAACCTAAACATTCCCACTTCCCTCAACTGTTCTTCACATGACAAGTAGCAATATTCCAGAAACATCATCACAAGAGACATAGAGCTTTAATAGTCTCTGCCTCCCTCATCACTTCCACCACCAGGATAATCATTCAAGCAGTTATGAATCCAGCTTTTTGAATATCACCCAAACTGTGCCTCAATTCAGATAATGTACACAAACCACCACCACCATGTTGCTTTCCCTACCCAAGGTGCTGCTTGAATTATCCTGGAAATAAATTCATATCATATGCCTCACTTTGGGAAATCACAGGCTCTGAGTTCAAGTTTGATGTTTACTAAATAATGGGATGACTATGATCCTTCCACATTTAGTTGAACTTTTCCACCAGAAGGAGATGCTGACAATTTAGTCTCTAAGTTTGTGTAGTCAGTCATGCTTTTGGCACTAAATTTCACATTAAGAAGTTTTAGAATGAGAATATGGCTGGCCCCCAAATCTGCAACAGCTTAGTTTATTTTTATATCCCTAATATGCATTTTGCATAAATTTTAAGACCTTGGAAGCTATGCAGAGCATGAATATTGAATGCAGCCGTGAAATATTTTTGAAAGGAGCCCAAGAGTATGCCTTATACATGTGGTGATCATTTAACACATACTTACAACTTCCTTAAAAGAAAAGGTTGGTGAGGAAAATGAATCTCTGGTTAATGTGGCTGGGTGAACTCCATGTCATTCTGGCACTCTGCTGACTAAGTAACACAGTTTCCCTAAAAAAAAAAAAAAAAAAAAAAAATTCTTCCTTTAGAAGTAGTATTTATACACATGAGAAACCATAAATTATCAATCTAGCAATTGCTAGGTTTTGTTTAAACAAAAAAAGTTTAGAATAAATAATGAAGAAAAGGATTAACATTGGGGATCTGAAAATGTGTCTATAGATGCTCAACATTAACTAATCACATAACTTATCCACCTTCATGAGTGAGGTTTATGAAGAGCTAGATGCTTCCCTACCACAAAGTATAACAGTAAATCCAGGGGCTTGGGATGTAGCTCAGTTGGTAGAGTGCTTCCCTCACATGCACAAGGCCCTGGGTTCAATCCCCAGCACCACAAAAAAAAAAAAAAAAAAGTAAATCCAATCTACTAAACTGGTAAATGCCAGTCTCGTACTCATGAGCTAAAGCTAGATTATCATAGGCAATCCCTCTACCTCTCTGAGCCTCAGAATCTGCCTCATATATAAAATCAAATAGATTCAGGCATGGTGGTGCATGCCTATAATCCCGCGGCTTGAGAGGCTGAAGCAGGAGGATCAAGAGTTCAAAGCCAGTAACTTAGTGAGGTCTAAGCAATTCAGTGAGATGCTGTCTCTAAATAAAATATATAAAAAAGGGCTGGGGATGTGGCTCAGTGGTTAAGCACTCCTGGGATCAATCCCTGGTACCCCTTCAAAAAAAAAAAAAAAACGACAAATAGTATTAGACCAATGGTTTTCAACCTGATAATTTTTCTATGGAATCATGTCTTCAAGCAAAAATTTACACAAAACTAAGTTTGGCTTGAGAAATGAATCTTCTGTGGCTCCCATGAAGATCATGAACCCTGGAGTTCTGTGGTGAACTATGGAGAACCCTGAGGCTCTAAAGAATACAGTTTGAAAACTACTGTAAGATCATGAGGCAGCAAACTATGGTGTGTGGGCTAAATGTGGCCAGCTGTTATGTCCATTTGTTTATATACTGTCTATGGTCACTTTAGCACTATAAGTATTAAGTAGTTGTGACAGGGACTATAAAGCCCATAAAACCAAACATTTGTAGTATCTGGCCCTTGACAGAAAACGGTTGCTGCCCTCTGTGTTAGATGAATTCTGGGTTTATTCCCTGGACTCACATGGTAAGGTATCTTTCTCAAAAGGTATATATGCAAAGTACAGATTTGCCAAGATATCCTTTTCATACTTTTGAGTGTTCTGCAAATCCAGATTCACCACCCCATGAGCAGCAGATTTCCCTGTGGTTATAGTTCTGGGCATAGAGAGAGAAAAAAAAATACCTCAAATTATAAACTATACATCTTCTAGTTCATTATTTCTAGTTTTAAAACATAGGTCTGTTTTGTTGTTAGCAAAGAGTCTTCATCTCTCACATATACCTCAAAACCTTTAAAGGCCTATCTAACATCTGTGCCGTGAGATTAACTATCATGTAAGTACATTTAATAGAAATAGTGCTAGACTGAGTATCTGGAGACCTGGGATTTAGTGCTGGCTCTGCCACCAACTTTGCTGTGAAATCTTTAGCAAATGACTCTGCCTCTCTGGATTTCAATTCCTCCATTTGTAAAACAGGCATAATAACACCTACCCCTCATAGCAATGCAGTGAGTGTTTTTTTGGAAGGAAATATATAGAAATACAAGATTTGGCCAAGAGTACATAAAACTGATTGGTTGCCTAAAAGTTTATCTGAAACAGAAGCAAAAATATGCTTTGGTTTCTTCAGTTCTTTTGACAGTGAAGAATATTGGATATACACAAATGATTTTAAAAACACCAGTTTCCTCAGTTGTTGTAACTGAAACACATTTTAGAAATGCTAACAATATAATTTGGCCCCCAATACATTTTCTCAGGAAAGCTGTTTACATGTAGTCCTGAGAAATTGTGATATTTAGATGAGAGCTCAAGGCAACACTCTTCAAATGGAATCCCAGGCAAAATCTACTTCTATCCTGAGGAAGGTGATAACTAGTTCCTTGTATTTCCATAACATCTCCCCTCTGGAGTACATATATTTTTGCATGTAGATATAGAATCACAAACATGTACACAGGCTGGGAGTAGGCATTATCCTTTTTTATGGCAAAGGTGAAAGATAGAGGCAGTTTGAGGTGACAATGCGCAAATTGAGGCTCAGATCTCATAATGAAGTTCATTTTCTTCAAGACTACTCCTCGTGTTCTAGAAGCTAGAAGCATGGAATAAGGCTGAAAATGGGCAACCAATCCTATAGATACTGGTTATTCCTTCCCTTTAATCCCCTGGTTCTTCATTTGTGCTAGAGGGATGTTCTAGCTTGTAGGGTTGTCAAAGGAACAGCAAAATACATTCATATGCCACTGTGCAGAGAAGTACTGGATTCTCTACCTGATAGGATGTCATGCTATTTGCAATAGTGTGGAATACATCAAAAACTGCTCAAAATTCAACAGAAAGCTCTCATGAAGACTCCATAAGAATGGTCCATCAGCCCCCAACTGCAGTCAGTGAGGAAGTGAGGCTAAACACTGTATGCTGAGAAGGTTCCATGTACCTCCTGTCCTTTAATAACTGCAAGTTGTCCGTGGTGCTCAGAACCCAGTGGGGGATTAAGGAATTAGGTCTGATTCAAAATTTCATTAGGAAGCAAGGTGATTTATCCTTACTGCCCTGAGCATACCTGTGGCTCAGTTTCAGTGATACTCTGCAACAATCTGTTAATCTCAGTTAGAAAATGTCTATTGATAAACCACAGGTGGTTGCTCCAGAGGATTGCTTTGAAATTCATTCAGCTTTGTGTATATGTTGGGTGTATATTTGGATGGGAAAGAGAGGAAGACCGTGTCATGTACTAATTAAATGGAGCCAAAAGACAAATAGTTCCATGCATGGGGATTTTTGGATAAATGATGCTTAATGCATATTTTGGTGGCTTTATTTGGGTGTAAAAGAGTGGAAAGGGGAAAGTTTTATAAATGCTCATTGTATTTCTCACCTTCTGCACTTTTTTTTTTTTTTTTTAGTATAATGGTTCTCGTCCGAGGGAGGAATGGGAAATGTGGCACCCGACTCTGATTGCAGAGGCGCTCTTCGCAATATCCAACATTTTAAGTTCCTTGCGTCTCATATCCCTGTTCACAGCCAACTCCCACTTAGGGCCTCTGCAGATCTCTTTGGGACGCATGCTGCTTGATATCCTCAAATTCCTCTTTATCTACTGCCTGGTATTGCTGGCTTTTGCCAATGGACTGAATCAGCTTTACTTTTATTATGAGACCAGAGCTATTGATGAGCCTAACAACTGCAAGGGGATCCGATGTGAAAAGCAGAACAACGCCTTCTCCACGTAAGACTCCCCTCCTCTCCTCTTTTGCCTTTTTTTCTGCCTTCTCCTTTTTTGTCTTATTTTCAGCCAACAGTTTCATCACTGCCTCTCAATAGTTCGAGCAAAGCTTACTGCGGATTCATCCAAATGGTCTGAGGTGGAGGGAAATCTGCCTCTCTGTACAGGCGACAGGGAGAGTGGAGTTAGGGGAAGGAATAAAGAAAAACACATATATGGGCTGCCAGGAACTAGACTTCAGAGTTAGTTCTAAACTATGTTAGTAGCATTCTGTATTTTTAAAGATTTTATGGGGGTGGAATACATAATACCTCACTCAAAAAAGTGGCCTTGCAGGCACAATGGTACTTGCCTGTAATCCCAGTGGCTCAGGAGACTGAGGCAGGAGGATCACAAGTTCAAAACCAACCTCAGCAAGTTAGTGAGACCTTAAGCAACTCAGAGAGACCCTGTCTCTTAATAAAACACAAAAAAGGGCTGGGGATATAGCTCAGTGGTTAAGTGACCCTGCTTTCCATCCCTAGTAGAAAAAAAAAAAGCCTCCACCAAGGAAATGAAACAGAAAGGCTATTCTTCTTATCAAGTAACCACCAAAGCTAATTTAACCATTCTGAATCATGCCTGAAGCAAGAAAGGATGTAAGTGTATCTTTTTTTCTTTTATTGGTTCTTTTTAGTTATACATGACAGTAGAATCCATTTGGATATAATTATACAAGCATGAAGTATGTCTTATTCTAATTAAGACCCCATTCTTACAGATGTTAAATTCTCTGTGGTGTCATCATATATGTACCTCTTAATGTTCCCCCTTTCACAGAAGTAAGCTAGAAAGAGAACAGGTTGTGGCAAAATTAGAGTTAGCTTACCAACTAGCTTAATTTAAGGATTTAGGTAGATGAAGAGGCACCAAGCACTGACTGGAAATGTCTTCCATTCTCACTTGGGATCCAAGAGACAGCTCATGACTCATTGTCCAGGAGTTTGCTACCTCTGGACACATGGAACTCTTGTGCCTTTTGGTCCTACTCTCAAGATCTACTTTGTGGGCACCTTCAAAACTTTAGAATGGCTTTTAATTTCTGAAAAGTTGGCATTAGGGGAAATGGATATGAGAGAAAATAAGCACATGTTAGACAATTTGTTAGGCTAGGTGCTGCCCTGGGCTGACCCCAGATTGGTGTCCCCCACCTTGTCTGTCTCCACCCCTTTTGAGGAGTGTTGGATCATCACTGATATTCATAATAATGACCCCAAGGTTCTTAGTTATTAAACTAAAATACAATTTTTCCTAATGTGTTTTGTTTTTAATGCCATGTAATCATTGTACATGCTTATGGGGCATAGTGTGATTCCTTACATGAATGCATTAATAATCAAATCAGGTATTTAGCATATCCATCACCTCATACCTTGAGCATTTCATTGTGTTGCAATATTTAAAAATCTTCTCTTCTATGGGGTTAGGGTTTTAGCTCAGTGGAAGAGCGCTTGTGTGAGGCACTAGGTTCAATTCTCAGCACCACATAAAAATAAATAAAATAAAGGTCCATTGAAAACTAAAAAATATTTTAAAAAGTCTTCTCTTCTAGCAATCTTGAAAAAGTACAGCACATCATCTGTATTTATAGTTGCCCTACTGCTCAATAACATACCAGAACTTCTCACTCCTATCTAACTGTAACTTTGTATTCCTTCATCAACTTTTCCTCACCCATTCCTCTTCCAATATATCCTCCCCAGGCTCTAATAGCCAGCATTCTACTCTCTACTTCTATGAGATTGACATTTTTTATATTCCTATCATATACGGGTGAGACCTCGCAGTATTTGTCCTTCTGGTTTATTTCACTCAACATAATGTTCTTTGAGTTCATTCACATTACCACAAATGATAGGATTCCATGTTTTTATGGCTAAATAGTATTCCATTAATTCTTTTCCTTTAACTCTGTAAAGTCAGTTCATTGAATTCAGACATTCTATAAATGTGTTCAGTAACAAAGGCTTGGAGTGAAGGATTTCTACTAAACCAAAAGTTGTACTAATTCAGAGTAAAAAAAAAAAAAACAATCTTATCTACCCTATCCCTGTCCCTGTTTGCTTCTAGCAGCATTTCCTAAAATTGGTTGTAAAACTAAAAAAGAAAAGGACAGGTCAGTGGCATGTTGATAGACATGGAGTTTGAGATGAAATGAGTTTTGGAAATTCTGGGACAAAGTTTAAAAGGTTTTGTTACTTCAGGACTTCTCAGAGTCCTTCCACCATGAATTTACCATGTAAGGAGAAATCTTCTCAGATATATTGACTACAAAAAGAAAGCACTCTTCTCCCCCTTATTAATTTTTAAATGATCTCTCCAGGATGATGCTTCAGAGAAATTAATTTGAAAAATGTGGGCTCACTCCATTACCCATCACCATATTCATTCCTTTCCCATAGGCAATACTCCTATCTCTCTTCCCAGAACTCTGGAAAAATCTTGAATGTGACAACCAGACTTACGTGAAAAAAAAAAGGAGGCCAAGAAATAATCCAATTTTATTAAGCCAACCAGGAGTGTATAATGGCAACTGATCCCTTTACTAGTGCTTCCTGACTAGGAACTGCTTCCTTTCTTGCGTTACTCTAGAGACAGAACTCACTTCAACCTATTTTTAATATAAAGAGCAACTTTGTAGTGGTTTTCGCATTTGTTCCCATCAAAGTATTCAATGGGAGGACTGGGTCCTGGCCAATTACCCTTTCATGTGAACTCTGCCAAGGAAGTTTATAAAATGCCTCCTCGCAAGTTTGTAGTGATTATTAACACCCCTGTTGCCAACTGACATTTTGCTTCCATCACTTGCCCAGCAGGGAAAATTGACAAGAATGGACACTGTCATACACGAAATTATATCTTGGGGTGTCAGATAGGAAGAAGCATTATCCTGCTGGGACCAAATCAGCAGTAGCATTACCTCAACTTTCCCTCTATCTGTTGATGTTTTTCTCCTCCATTGAGGCCTGATTCCAATTTGTTTTCTTTTAAATGCTTCAACTCAGGCATTGTAATACCTATTAAAATACTTATTATTCAGTCAGAGCATCAGAAAGACTCAGCTTTTAGAGAAGGGGAAAATAAGTTTATTTATATATCTGGTGAAAAGTTTGGTACCTGCTTATTGTCATCTTTTTCCTTATGATTCTCCGGAGATGCCATTGTTATTCTTCTGCTTTAAAAGTAGAGAAAGCCCTTTTTTCCCTAGGCATACAATTTAAGGGGAACTCATTGTCCTTGCTGACAAACATGTGACAATATTGTTGGTGACTGGAGTTCAGTATTTCATACTGGGAGTATCTGGCCTTCATCTGCTGTTGAGAGAAGCAATTAAGAAGGTATCATGAGGGCTGGGGCTGTACCTCAGTGGACAGAGCACATGAGGCACTGGGTTCAATCCTCTGCACCACATAAAAATAAACAAAGAAAATAAAGGCATGCTGTCCATGTACCAAAAAAAAAAATGTTTTTAAGAAGAAGGTATATTGAATACATGACCAGTATAACTCGACATCATGTTCAACCATAAGAATGGATCAAAATTGGAATGGGTTGCCTTCCATATATGTATAATATGTCAAAATATCTAAGAACAACAAATAAAAAATAAATCAAAATTTTAAAAAGAAGGCATCATCATTCTTAGGATACAGAACTTGAGAGAAAAAAAGGGTCAGAGTGGTAAGACACTAACTCTCCAGTCCAGGCCCTCATCTCCAGATGCCTACTGAGCACCTCTGTCCACTTGCCTGTTCCACAGGCCCCCAAGACACAAAATGTCCACAACTAAATTCCTTGTCTGAATATCACCCTAACCAATTTCCCCTTTAGCTCCTCTTCTCATTAAAAGGCCCCAGCCTGAATTCTAGGAGTTATATGGGACTCTTACCCTTTCCCTCATGAAACAAATCTAGTGTCTCACTCAGCCCTTTCAATTTACTTCTTAAATAGCTTTGAATCCATACGCACACACCTACACTTTTGAATCCAATCGCACACACCTACACTCTTTAATTCATATGCACACATATACACTTTTGAATCCATATGTACACACATACACTGTCTCGGTTCAGGCCTAAATCATCTCTCTCAAAGACTACTACAATAGCCTCTTTAACAAGTCTCCCTGCATCTAGTCTTGTCTCCCTTCCAAACAATCTCCCACTTGCTATGTGGAAGGCTCTTCCTAAATACCAGTTTCATTCTGTCAGCCCCTGGCTCCATGCCCACCAGTGTATCTGAATCTTCTTCATAAATACAGCATCTTTACCATAAGACACAGAATCTTAGAAGTCTAGACCATGCCTCTTCAGCCTTCCACTCCTCTCCTCCATAGTCAACATCTTGCTATTTCCCAACTACAAGAAAGCATGTCAGCCCTATAGGCCTTTGTATACCACATGCCATTCCCTCTGCCTGGAAAGCCAATCTTCACTTAGCCCGCTAGAAAACTTTTACACAACTTTCCAATTCTGCCAAAGTATCAAATGCTCTAAAGACTTTTTGTTTTTAGAGAGAGTGAGAGAGGAGAGAGTGTGAGAGAGAGAGAATTTTTTTTTAATATTTATTTTTTAGTTCTCGGCGGACACAACATCTTTGTTGGTATGTGGTGCTGAGGATCGAACCCGGGCCGCACGCATGCCAGGCGAGCGCGCTACCGCTTGAGCCACATCCCCAACCCTCTAAAGACTTTTCTTAACCACTCTCAGCTGTAGGCTTCTTCTGTGTCTGCCATAGTATCTTAAGCACATATCCATTAAAGTACAAAACCTGTTATGTTTTAGTCAGTTGTGTCTCTTTATTCCCACTAGACTGATACTCCTATTTGAGTCAGCTTCACATCTGCCATAAGGGGCTCTAAGACATAAAGATATTCAAAATGCCTATCAAACAGTTGAATGGAAAAATGAAGTTCGTAGAGAGCCTATCTTTTTACAGCTTTTTATTTGGAGACAATTATC